TATTATTTTTATTATTATAAATTTCTTATTGCCCTCCCTTTCTCTTGTTCTTTATTATTATAAACGTTTTTTAACCATACTTTGCGCATTACAATTTTTTAAAGAAAGAAAAAATTGAAGTACAATGAGTTAGATATTTTTAATATTATATTTTAATTAAAATTAGAATTGTATTCTAAAAAATATTTATACTTAACATTATCATTTGAAATAAAATATTAATTTAATTAAAAATAATAATACTAAAAACACTTAAAAAAATTGATAGGTGAATTTGGGCAAAATTTATTAAAATATTGTAAATTATAAAACAATTTATTATTTTATAGGAAATCTGAAACAATTTCCTAATCTGGGGTGATTTTGCCACGTTGGATCAAAATTTCGTCAAACGGCTGGCGAAAGTATTAATTTTTGAATTGTTTAATACCTATTTCGCCAGAAAAAGAACGAAATAAGACTTCTTAGAGCGGTTAAATTAAAACCGCTCTCATAGGTCTATTTTAGAGAGCGGTTCAAATGGAACCGCTCTCATAACTCCTTTAAGAGAGCGGTTCATATGGAACCGCTCTCATAACCTATTTTTGAGAGCGGTTCCATTTGAACCGCTCTCATAACCCATTTTTGAGCTATATACAGTAACTCGTATCTGAATTTTGCCAACCGAATTGCGAAATGTAAGTACAATTTCGCATATTTGATGGTGAAAATTTTGTTTTAATATATTTTTAAATTAATTTCGTTACCGGACTGGCGAAACAAATAGCCTCTTCTTCATTTTCGTTGGCGAAATTGCACACTCCGATTTCAGGGTTTGAAACTTTGACGATGATAGAGGAGGAGAGACGGAGAAAATGGACGACGAAAGAGGAGCAGAGATGGAGAACATGTAAATGGAAAGGAAAGAGGACGACGGTCAAAAGCGGTTTCGCTAACTGCAGTGCGAAATGAGCTTTCGCCAGTAGCAGTGCGAATCATCTTAGATATTGCCACATGTATCAAAAGCCCCATAGCCGTCTATTTTAAATCTAAGAGAGCAGTTCCAGTAGAACCGCTCTCTAAAATCGACTTATGAGAGCGGTTCAGAAGTAACTGCTCTCTTAAATGGACTTATGAGAGCGGTTCGAAAGGAACCGCTCTCTAAAATGAGTTATGAGAGTGGTTCCGCTCTCTAAAATAGACCTATGAGAGCGGTTTTAATTTAACCGCTCTAAGAAGCCTTATTTCATTCTTTTTCTGGCGAAATATGTATTAAACAATTCAAAAATTAATACTTTCACTAGCCGTTTGGCGAAATTTTGATCCAACGTGACAAAATCACCCCAGATTAAGAAATTATTTCAGATTTCTTATAAAATAATAAATTATTTTTTAATTTACAATATTTTAATAAATTTGCCGGTGAATTTGTGGGTCTTCGTTGTGAAAAATGTGAATAACGCAGAGTTACATTAATTTAAAAAGTGTGTTTGGATTAATGATTGAGATCTGACATGCATCCCCCAACCCGAAGAAAAGGAAACAAAGAAAAATGCTCTGATTTTTCACCCTTTTAGTGGTCAGTCCAAATTCTGACATTGACCTTTGAATCTCATCTTCTGCTCTGATATCAGATAATATACCAAATCGACCTCTTAACCGTATTTTACTCGTTCGGATCCGTTTCAAACAATTTGTTTTGTCTATGACATTTTAAGGCCCGTGTTTCACCTTTTCTTACTTTCCTTGTTGTTATGCTATCATTAAATAAATTATCAAACCTCAAATATTATTTTAGTGCTGCTCTTTAAAATTACAAATAATATTTTCTATAAAAACTGTATCATACTATAAACTTTTATTTAAATAAATGTTTTTTTTTAACGAAACACACCGAATTCACAAGAATAAATGTTTAATGCCAATCAAGACATTTTATTTTTTTATATATACACTAAATGCCAAATTTATTTATTAACAAAATTTACTATAACAATTTTTATTATATGGCACTTACACTAAGTTGTTTGTGAAATAACAATGATATTAATTACATATTTAATTTATTAAAATGGTGTTGAGAATCTAAGACAGAATAGATGGAAAGTAAACATATATTTGACCGAAAGAATGACACTTACATTAATATTTGGCTTGAGAGGACTTTTAGGTACATCCTATTCTAATAAAAATGTTCTATACCTTAAAAATGAGGTAATAATTATTTATAAGCTAAGCCCATTCAAGACATTAATCAACGTCCCAAACTATATTTCTTAGAATCAACGATTTGCACTAACAAAGATTTAAGTTTATGAACTCTAGAATTTCTAAGAATAGTTTTATTTCAAAATTATAGTCTTCTTGTAAAAGAAAATAGCTTTGAAAACATTCTTAAACAAAATATGTTTAAAACATGATTGAAAAAGTTGCAAATATACAATTGAGTCATGTTATTCCTTAAAATGTAGAAAAAAAATTATTAATTAAATAAACTATATATTTTTAATAAAAATAAAGTGAAGAAAAATATATAATTAATATATATATATATATATATATATGACTGAATCTTTTTATACTAATATAAATTTAAAAACTCTTATACTCGATTTAAGTCTTTTATTTAATTTACCTATAACAGTAAATGAAATAATAAATTATAACCCGTTACTATTAATAATATAGATAAATTAATATATAGCTATTTAAATTTAACTTGTGATTTGAAATTTGAATTTTAATAAATATAAGTATATTAAATACTTAAAGATTTTTTTTATAATAATCATATTATAACTTAAACAATATTGTCTTTTATGAAACAGAGTTTACACATAAAAGTTATTTTTTTCTTAAATTTTTTTATTTTATAAGTATAAAAACATTTTTGCACATGTTTTAATTTTTTCCTATTCACTCGTCCACTCTTTCAAATAAAAAATTTGTTTTACTTCTCTTTTATTTTTATCCATACAAATATTTTTATTTTCTTCCTCAGTCTGAATACATCAAAGTTAAAACTATAATGAGATATATGTATATACATACAAGCTTCATCGTTTTATTTTTTATTTTAATTTTAATACACTGTCAATATAAAAAATTTACACTTTCTGTTAATTAAAATATACTATAAATAATATTTTAAAATTAATCATAAAAATATAAAAAAATTCACTAACTTATCAACTTATAATTACATGCCAATATAAAAAAAATTTATACTATCAATATATTTCAATTAAATTATTATTTATTTTGTCATCATTACCACAATTCAATCCCCTCTCTTCTAAAATACATTTCAATTCCTTTCAAGGAGTCAAGGTGACCTTAAACCATTTCCTCAAAAATTCATGACTAAATACCACAAATTTTTTTTTGGGTATGATATGAGTGCTATTTGCTAAATTAGTTAAAAATCATGAGTTTATAATGAGAGCTTATAATTGTATAGTGAATTAATTATAGAAATAGAGTTGTTTAATAAAATTATGCGTAAAAATAATTAAAATATGCCACATAATTAAAAAATATGTAATATTATATTAATTAAAATTCACTTATTTTACTTTTTTATTTATTATCAACTATTTAATTAAATATTTTTATTTATTTAAGTGTGAGAGATATTTTTGCTAGCATTATAATTATTGTATGGATGTATATTAGTTAAAAAGTTAAAATTCAAAACGAGAAGTTAATTATTGATAGTTAACTTTTACATTTTAAATAATACTTTAGTTGGCTTTCAAAAGCTAAGAACTCTTTTTTTTTTTTTTTTTTTATCAAATAACTTTAGTAGTTAATAAACTACAGATTTATATTATCAAACATATTACTTTTGAACTTAATATATTATTTAAAAGAATAATTATTTTGCCATCTAAATTAACAAACATCAGTAAAGCACATCCGGGGTATAATTTCACTTGATTTTTTAATTCAACTTTGATATTAAACACCTAAATTAGGTCAAAACTCGTTTAACACTTATAATTTTTTTTATCTTTCTTTTATTATTTAATCATATTATAACATCTTAATACATATACATGTATAATTTCTCTCCTTCATTTCTATATCTTTGTAAGTTTAGACACCTAAATGTATCGTTTTATTAACTCTACAACCTTTCATTTTGCGATGACATCATAATAAAAGTGGTTTTTATTCTATTAGGTCTACATATTTCTTCTTGCTTAATTATGAGTCTGAACTTTCACAACACCTGTCACAAGGTCAGGATCCACTTTCCATTCTTTGTGGCAATGTTTTGCCCCACCTAAAGTGCCATCCTTTGCATGACGTGTGATGTTTTATAGGATTCCTTCAAAGGTTAACATATTCAATAGAGGAGTTATTTAAAGTGAATAATGCTCTTTGTACTGGTTTTCACATCCTAAATCTACATTATTTATTTTTTAATCTGAATCAAATTTAAATTTTTTATCTGATCTAGTTAAATTCGGTGCTGGTTACTAAAATCAACTCGGGAACGGAACAGAATGCACCAACTTGTCTGAAAAAAGAAGGTTTTCATTTAAAGATGACTTGGAATCACGATTTAAGCTGCTTTTCTATATGGCTATATGAGAATGAGACATTTTCAGGTGCCTCACTGCATAAGTAAATTCCTTTGTCACACTACTTGCTTATAGCTACCGTGCTAAACAAGCAAGTGGTTGTTTCACCAAAAAAAATTGAATAAGTCATTTGGTTTGGGTTAAAAGAGTAAATGGAATTTCAGAAGAGTTTGCCACACGTCCCAAATGAGGCACTTTATAAGACACGTCAACTGAATAAGTTTTCTAATCTCAACATGTGGCATTTGTTGAGGGTATTAAGTAATTTGCATTATTAGAAAATTATATTCAATTCAGAGGAAAGACATGGACATGCATTAAACATCACAATCCACTGAATATCTTCTTGCTATACACTATTTCTTCGTACTCATGTTGCAATTGGGAAGTGGCACAAGGCACAAATTAATATATATTCATGGGTATGTAGCAATGTGTGATACAATGCCAGGGGAAATGGAAAGTGAGAATTTTTACTCTGTATCTCAGAGCCTGCAATCAGCAGAAGCAAAACGAAACGTCTATTTGAAAGTTAACCCACCTGTTACCCTCAAGGTATGATGATGATTGATGTGAAGGTGTAAAATTTTTCTTGTCTTCAGAGTTCAAACTCAAAATCAAGTTATGCCTTTAAAAAAAATTGTAATTGTTCCATTTATCATAATTCAAAATGTTGTTCTAAATACTTGATTAATTTGCATGATAAATTTGGTCAAAAGGTTAAATGATGAATAGAGGCAACAAAACAAGTGTTTCTTTATAGTAACTGTTGACAGTTTATGTTTTACTGCACTGATCTTTATTGCAGTTTGAAGATGTTGTGCATAAAATTAAAATTAGCAAAGGGGAAGGCTTGTTATGCAAAAAGAAGGTAAGTTCTGAGGAGAGAGTGGTGTTGAAAGGGGTTAGTGGTGTTGTTTTTCCAGGTGAATTGTTGGTCATTTTAGGCCCTTCTGGGTGTGGCAAAACAACTTTGATAACTGCATTAGGAGGCCGGCTAAATGATAGTGTCTCCAGTGGAACCATAACCTATAATGGAAAACCCCTCACAAAATTAATGAAGCATAACATGGGATTTGTTGCTCAACATGATGTCTTCTATCCTCACCTGTCTGTCAGTGAGACACTAGTCTTTTCAGCTCTTCTTCTCTTGCCAAATAGCCTCTCTAAAGAAGAGAAAATCTCAAATGCTGAGGCAGTTATGAAAGAACTTGACCTGACTCATTGTAAGGACACTATAATGGGAGGGCCACTCTTAAGGGGAGTTTCAGGTGGAGAAAGAAAAAGGGTTAGCATAGGGCAAGAACTTTTAACTAATCCAAGTCTCTTGCTTGTTGATGAACCCACTTCAGGCCTTGACTCAACCACTGCTAGAAGAATTGTGTTAACTCTGTGTGGGTTAGCTAAAGAGGGAAGGACTGTCGTAATGACTATTCACCAACCTTCCAGTAAACTTTTTTACATGTTCCAGAAGATTTTGCTATTGTCAGATGGTAGAAGCCTGTACTTTGGGAAAGGAGAAAATGTTATGAATTACTTCTCCGGTATTGGTTATGCTCCATCCCTAGCCATGAATCCTACTGATTTCTTACTTGATCTTGCAAATGGTATGCAAATACTAACCTTTCAAGCATGCCTAGGAATAGGAAATACGATCCTGTTTTATTTTTGGATTAAGACATTGGTTACTCACCCTTTACATTCAAATATTTCACGGCATTGCAGCATCATAATATATTATTCAGTGTGAACATTTAGAGACCAATTTTCAAATAAACGAGAATATTCATCTATTTAAGTTTGATATATTTTTCATGACTAAAGCCTTTCTAGTCATGCTGCTTCAAGACTTCTGCATATAGTTTATATATTTGAAAAAATTGCTTTTAGAAAGCAAAAATCCAAAAATTAAAGACTGTGTCTTCCTTTTTGTTGAAGGATTTTACACCGTTCTAAGCTAATGTTCTATTTAGAAGATTTATTCTTTTTCCCTATTTTGGATGTACACTATCATTAGTCCATTCATCAACTACAATTTTCTAGGTATATATTCGGGAAATTCGGAAGAGGATACAAATGCTACAAAACAAGCACTATTATCTGCTTTTGAATGTAACCTTTCATATCAAGTAAAGATGGAACTCCAAATTTCCAGGGTTTCATTTCATGACAATTCAGATGAGAAATTTGGTCAATGGTGCACAACATGGTGGCAGCAGTTTACCATATTACTAAGGAGGAGTTTCAAAGAAAGAAAGAATGAGCAATTTTCAGCCCAAAAACTCTGTCATGTTTTGGCCTTATCATTCTTTGCAGGCCTTCTCTGGTGGCAATCTAGAGTTGATCAAATGCAAGACCTGGTATTTAGATTATATGTGTGTTTGGAAACATGTTAGAAAGCCTCTAAACATGGATACAATTAGTAGCGTTGAAGTAAATGTGGATTCATATGCAAAATCCAAGACATTTTCTGATTGTTGCTTTTATTGCTGTGCAGGTAGGACTACTTTTCTACTACACACAATTCTGTGGATTCTTCCCAATGGTCCTGTCCATCTTTACCTTTCCCCGTGACCGTGAAATGATAGTAAAGGAAAGGTCTTCCTACATGTACAGATTCTCATCTTACTTCATAGCAATTAATGTTGTTGACCTTCCAGTGCAGCTAGCCTTGCCAACCCTTTTTGTCACCATTACTTATTGGATGGGAGGGTTAAAAGCCAGTGCTTCAATTTTCTTCCAAACTCTAGCAGTTGCTCTTCTCTATGCATTGGTATCACAAGGTATTGGCCTTGCTATTGGTGCAGTGCTGGTAAATAATCAAAGAGTAGCTGCTACAGTTGGGGCTGTGGTCATGACATTATTTGTTCTAGTGAATGGCTATTTTGTGCAGAATACACCAGCATTTGTGTCATGGATAAAGTGCATATCTCATAGCTATTATTCCTATAAGCTTTTGTTGGGTTCACAGTTCAAGGATTATAACACATACCTTTGTGGTTCCAATGGTACCTGCTCAGTTGGAAAGTATCCTACAATTAAGCATGTAGGCATCGACAAGCAAGGCTTCTCTGTTGCAGCCTTGGTGGCAATGCTTGTAGGCTACAGAATTATTGCCTATGTTGCCCTTGTGATTGGCACCAAACAGAACTAGACCCCTTTGATTCTAGATTTCAAAAGGGAATATTAGTGAGGATTATTCTCCTGTTAATCTCGTTAAAGTGGTTTCAATACCATCATACTTATGCCAACTAGAAATGGAATCCTATCTTTCAAATAATTGATTGAAGATGGTAGCAAATTAAATTGGAAACTGAAAATTTGTGGTAATAGGGGAAACGGGATTCTGAGAAGAACTTATTAACAAATACAATGTCATTCTTATCCTTTAGATTCACAATATTAAAAAATGTTCAATGTAGTACCATATTCAATTTTATTTATCTATTTAAACCTAAATTTTTATTTGTCCATTTAAAGAGAAAAGAGATTACTCAGATTAAAGAATTTAATTATTTTATTAAAACTAATTGTTAAATTTATTAATTTATTTTTTATCAGTAGGTCTCTGTTTTATTCTTAGGTGTTGTGGGATGGAGGTCATGTTATTGTTGGGCATTGAATGGTTCCTCGCCCAGCAAAGGACATGATGACACTAGAATAAATATTTTCATCTATAAACCAATAACATGATAACACTGTTTTACTTTTTCACTCACCAAGATCATCCTAGTTACGGGTGTTCATTGAATTGAATCAATATGAGGAATTTGTTAGAGCTTAAAAATATAGGAAAAAACATAAAGGATCAGAGATATATAGAGAAAGAAAAAAATAAAAAATAATGCGTCAAAGTGTACTTTTTTTTAGAATTTATGATAAAAAAAACATAAGCAATGATTTTTTTAACGGAGTTAATGTTTTTAATTAAAAAATAATTATTAAAATACTTTATAAGTTAAGAGATTAAAATAAAAAATATATTAAATAATAAAATCAAAACAAAATCAAAATTAGGAAATTAATATATTAATTTAACTTTTAAAAATTAAAATCTTGTCATCCAACTCTGAATCAAACCAAATCTATTAATTTTAATTGGTTTGAATTTTTTCTTTTTCAAAATTAAACTAAATCCATGTATGTATACCTCTAATTTACGTTTAGAGTAGGCAAAATAGGCTACCTAAATTATTTGAGTTGGTCCATAGCAGGTAACGGTCTACAAACTCTAACAAGTAGTACTAAAAAAGTTAAAATTTAAATTCGCCCAATACAAATAATGACTAAAATAAGTAAAAATAATAATAATTTCGGTCTTTAGCATGTATTGGGCTTGATCAAATAAAGTAAAAGGCTCATATTTAATTTGGATTTAAAATATAAAACCCAAACTTTATATTTTATTAGACGAGCTTAGATTGACCAAGACCTATTTTGACAGCACTATCAAAGATATGTTGAGAAAAAACTTGTTTCCTGCTTGCCTCCACAACAGAACATGTAATGTTGAACATTTCTAAGGCATGCCAATCCCCAAATGTTCTCTCAGTCAACTCATCTAACAAACCAGTAGTTTGGTCCACCTAAGATGATGTTGGTTACTTTCTCACCCATATGATTTTTGTAACTATTAATAGCTAAACAGATGATAACATAAGAGCATGGGTTATGATTCATCATCAGTCGTGTGTTACTATGTCTCGTGTAGACAATATAGCCTAATTGTTTTTATGTGATTAGACCACACTTACATAAATCTACATGTATGGTCCCTACGAACATCATAGGCCCAATGTTGTCTCCAATTGTTGTTCACATGTATCCTAACCTGCCAAACTAAGATATTTGACATTTTCTTTGTTATCGGTCTAACAAGAGAATGGGCCATCTCTAGGCCTATTGAATTTGAATCTTAACAGTTCACCATCAAACGGCATCGTTCTGCATATTCAATTATTAATTAATCATCTTAGACAAAAGAAAAATTATTAATTAATCATGGTTATGGAGCCCAATAATGATAAGCTAATTAATAACTTGTAAAAAATTAATTTATGATTTTTATTAAGTTATTTAAAAAAAAAAGATTATTAAACATATATTTAAATAAAAAATTATATCCTCATAAAAAATAAAAAAATTATATAAATATACTCTAATATATATTACATTATTTCAAGTGAAATAAACTGATTTAAAATGTAAATTTCATTAAGTTACATCCTTATATCCATATTATTTTTCTTTCAGAAAAAGTAACTATCCCTAGATTCACACCCATATGAGTAACAATTTCAATCCACAAACATATATTACCCAAATCTTAATGACTATATGTCTACTTTTCTATTCATTTCTCTTCATTTTAACAAACTAAGACAAACTTGCTATTTCAATACTAAAATTATAACGTCTAACTCAATTAAAAAAATACAGAAGGTTATTATTTCTCAATATTTTAAAACATAAAAATTAAAATAGTACTAAGAAAGGCTTTTCAAATTATTTGAAATGCAAGTGAAAATTTTCTCTCTCTTCAATTGTGACATTGTTAGTAAATTGGTGATTTCATATGGAATATCATGAAACGCCACTAAATTTTCTAACAAATATGGGATATATTTGAGATAAATAAAAAATAAAAGCAATTTAATCTCAAAACTGTCTGAAAATTTTACATCATCTTCTTACCAAAATGTGTACTTCTTTAGACAGAAGTGACAGACCCATAGATGATACAAATTAAGGAGACACTAAACCTGTGGAAATGAGAGTTGAATGAACAAATTTTATATTTGTAGCGATAAAAAGAAAACTCTCTCTCTCTCTCTCTCTATACATATATATATATATATATAGTATTGCTATATAAAACAACATGATTTTAAAAAATGATCAAATTAACGATAACAATTATTTAATTACAAGAACCTTAGTGTAAGAACCCCTACAAATTCAATAGTTGTTTCTAGAAGAACCACAATTGTAGGCACCGTCCTTTAATAATGTTAACATAGATAATGATTATACATGATTGCTATAATAGGGTTTTTAAACCGCTATTAAAGTCATCTATTACTGGGTGTAAAATGAAAATTATTAGAATAGATTGGACTTGTGTATCACATTGACGAGCCAAAACAATAAAATTCTATATGTTTTGTATACATGTTTCATTGCAGTGTAATTTTATAAATAAAAAAATAAGTTATTTTTTTTAAAAAAAAGCAGTAGAAAAATAGATAAACCAATTATGTGCATGTAATGATTTTACTTTATATTAATTTTTGCTTTCACCCACGCTTATTTATGACCTTGCATGCATAATTACTAGATAAGAAAATTATTATATTTTTGAACAAGTGCTCTCACTATAAAGAGCTGTTCTCTTATTGGAGTTTACTACTCAAATGAACATGTGTATAATTCATCATGTGTCCCAGCAATTGTTCATTTAACAGCAGTTTACCATGGAAACTCAAGACCCAAAAACAAAAACACCATGTAAACTAAAAAAATATGTTTAGATAAGTAAATCTTTGTTATAATTGCTGGTGAACACAAAATTATGGCATATTTCTATAAATTAATTGATATTGAATAAACCCTTATAAACCAAATAATTTCTTGAGAACCATCAATATATATTGACGTTGCTTTGACATCATAGTTACAAATATTAGTTCTAAGGTTTGGTGGGTGTTACGTTGGACTGAAGGGATTGACTCGTACTTTTTAACCCTTAAACCGCTAGAAGGAGGACAAATCAGAAACCCAAATTAATTGCAGTTCATTTTATTTCAGTTCCCGTTCTTGGTAAAATTATTAATGGCTAGTTAGGTATGCTTAAACATATTATGAGATCAGTGCTATATATATATAGCAATAACAAACTTCGAGTTTTTTGTGGCTTGTTTTCATCAAGGCACATGGATTGCGCGTTAAGTCAAGCTTTCACAATCCTAACAACTGGATGTGGTTCCAATAGCATCATCTCCTACCTGTTAGAGAGTGTTGAATGCCAAGCTTGCCAGAAATAAAGATCCTTTACAGTTGTTCTATCAATACAGGGTTTTTTATTTTTATGATGATGATGTGTATGTGTGTAGTTTGACGGGTAATTATAAATCCTCATTTTATTTCCTTTATTTGGGTAAGTCATTTGCACTTTATTCTCTAAAACTTTTCAAAACACAAAAAAGGTAATTGATTCTATATATCACTCCCTTATCCTAAAAGATTGATCTTAGTGTGATTATTTGTATCAAATAAGAAAGTAAATTATTCCTCTCATGTTCTCCAAAATTACTAATTTATCATGTTTCACTGGATTTTAGCTCAAATAATACATGCATCAATATAGTCTCTTTTATTTTCTATTCAAGCAGAATTACCGCAGCGTCTCACCAAAGGGCTATGTAAAATAAAAAAGGCCATAAAAACTAACCACTTTCATGCTTTTCAATTACTAAAAGGAAGAAAATAGAACTAAAGGTCTCTTTAGGACTAATTGATTCTGAATTTAAATTTCTCTAAAGTTGTTTTTACCTGCATTAGCGTTGGCTGCACCAAACGTACACGCACCTTACTTATAACCCCCTCTTTTCCCAAAAATAAAATGACATGGCTTTTAATTTTTTCTAAAAGAAAAATAAGTCAGTTAAATGTGTTAACTATCCATGGTTGATGACTAAGCTTGGAAGTTAAATTGACTAAGATGTCACCAGATGGATAAAAGCTCAATCACCAATTCAAACATTGATCAAGTAGTCGTGCCATATATTATGCAGGTTCTTCGAAGCTAACATTTAAATTTGCATTTAAGGATTATAAGTATTTCTTTAAAATTTAATAACTAAAGTTTTTTTTTTGTATATTTGATAAATTATTGATTTTTATTTCAAGATTGATTTTACAAATTTTTACAATGTTTTTGTTTTCTTTTGGAAGATTACAAAACTCTAGTCAAAATCATTTGTTTTAATTAAAGGCATCAAGTTTAAATTCTGCATGTTTCACTTACTCATCTTGTAGAAAGGCACGGTGAGTTGTCTTTTATAAAGGAATTAATTTTGTCGATTAGTCAGTAATGAGAAAAACTAATATTGATTTTTACTTAACATTCTATCTTACTTATTTACAAATGTATATCCTTTGCTGAAAATATTAATCTTTTATATAGCGATAGTAATTATACTTATCTTAAATTAATATATAGTACTATAAAACATATGGTCTATTGATATATATAAAAAAATATGGTCAATTAATTAACTAAACTAGTTATCTTTAACTCAACAAATATTTAAGTTGGGAATTAATTCAATTTTATTAACTTAATTTTGAAATATAAAGTAAGTTTTAATATTTAAAAATAATAATGTTTTATAAAAAAAATATTTGTTAAAATAAAGATATAAAAATATAATGAATACTTTTAATAAAATTTATTACTTTAAATATTTAAATTCAAACTTTTATATATTAGTCAAATTGAAATTAACATAACATGCTACTAAATTATTGAAGATATTGTTGACCCGAAGTGAGTTTATTACAATGAAGTTATTTTCACGTCAAACTTATTTTATTGAAATGATTCAAAATAAGCCCGATCAAGACCAATTCCTTTATTGCAAAAAAAAACCAAGAAAATTAGAATTTGACCATGCAAAAGATTAGGAGAAACAGAGCATGATTCAAATCTTCTGGGGCAAAACCCCATAATCAAGCAAAAGCATCTCTCAAAGAAAAAGGCAAAAGCCCTAAAATCTCAGAACGTACATAATCTACAATCCCTTATCATACGTTAAAAACCATGAGCAGAGCACAGCCAAGATTACAAGAACAAATAAATTAAGAAGACAGTAACAAATGTAGCAATGAGATCATAAAAGGGGAAGAGCACATGCACACGTGCCCATCAACTCTCATCTCTCTCTCTTCTACTGTGCGAAGTGAATGTGGGGCGTGTGTGACATAGAGATGGTGGCTTGTTTGCATAAGAAAAGCATGACATCAAAAGCGTTGCATTTCCAAACTCCCCAACCCTTCTTTCCCACAAAACCAGCCACCCCATCCTCATTATCGTTGTGTGGTCCCCTACACCACGTGTCACACTATCTCATCCTTGATTCCCATGTGTCACAAAAACCATCCTGATCCATTTGCTGCGTTTTATCTCAACTCGATCATGCATACATTTACATATACACACACACACATACCCCACTCTTTCTTTCTTTCTTTCTACCCCTAACCTTTCCCTCCCCATTCAGCTATTAAGCCTTTAGTAATCCAAAATCCCATATCTTCTCGCCACTTCTTTTTCCAATACCACGAAAACGAAAAAGAGCAAAAGTAAGAAAAGGCTCAAATCAACGAGAGTTTGTACTAGAATGCATGAGACTTAGAAAATTGAACAAAGTCTCGTCGTCATCATAGATATCATGGATAGCACAGATTCATCATCAGGGTCTCAACACCCACACCCACATCTCCCTCCAGGGTTCCGGTTCCACCCTACCGACGAGGAACTCGTCGTTCACTACCTCAAGAGAAAAGCTGCATCTGCACGCCTTCCCGTAGCCATCATCGCCGAGGTTGATCTCTACAAGTTCGACCCTTGGGAGCTCCCAAGTATGCAACTTTATCACAACCCATTTCATCTTTTGATCCATTTGTTCAAACCCACTTCTGATAATTTTTTGTTGCTCACCGGCCGTATGAACCAATTTTAGGATGCACTCTTTGTATTAATTTATTTATTTATTCTTTCGTGGGTTTTGCAGGTAAAGCAACGTTTGGTGAGCAAGAGTGGTACTTTTTCAGCCCAAGGGATCGGAAATACCCAAATGGGGCCAGGCCCAATAGGGCTGCTATTTCTGGGTATTGGAAGGCCACTGGAACTGACAAGCCTATTCTAGCATCTGATGGGCACCAAAAAGTTGGAGTCAAGAAAGCACTTGTTTTCTATGGTGGGAAGCCTCCAAAAGGGGTTAAAACTAATTGGATTATGCATGAGTATAGGCTTGCTAATGATTCCTTTAATTCTAGCTCAAAACCTCCTCCTCTTGCTGCTGATCATCGTCCAAACAATAACAAGAAAAATTCCCTAAGGGTACTTATAATCCTACCTAGTGATTATGCTTTAATTTGGATAAATTTTGGTATAAATATTTGTAGAAAAAATAAATGAATAAATTTCTTTTTATAAGTTCAGATTCATATTTCAAAACAAGTAGAAGAATATAATACCTATAAAAAATTTCTATTTTATTTCTATTTTTTTTCTACTGTAACCATTGCTGCAACCTATGTATGTTTCATTTTCTAAAATATATATATTTAAAATTGAATAGTGTTCTTTCCTTGTATGGTTTTGTAGCTTGACGATTGGGTTTTATGCCGAATATACAAGAAAAGCAATACTAGCACTTTACCAAGGCCACCCCTTATGGAGCATGAAGAGGAACTTTCAATGGAGAACATGCTACCCACGATGTCAACTTTGTCAATGGCTAATAATACGCAAAACTCTAAACCCCCATCTTCGAGAAACGCAAGTTATGGACCACTAGGACTTGAAAATGATGACAACTTTTTTGATGGAATCCTAGCCGCTGATCAGAGCATGCAAAACGGTTCTGATTCTCACCTAGTCTCTCCCAACTCAAAGGGTAATAATAACAATACTAGTAACTTCCCTATGAAACGTGCACTATCATCCCAGCTTTGGAACGAGACAGGATCTCCAGGGTCTTCTTCTTCAAGTAAGCGATTCCATGGTGATCTTAATAGTGGAAGCAGCACCGTTGAAGAAAACAATTCCTTTGTTTCTCTGCTTAGCCAGATTCCTCAAAACGCAACGTTACATCCAAACGCGATTCTTGGGTCAGTTGATGGTGCACTGAGGCAACAGTTTCAACTTCCGGGAATAAATTGGAACTGATTAATAGTATGGTTTAGCTTAGTTTACACACACACACCTCTGATCTTAATAGGACTGTTAACTAATGCTGGCGTTAGCATTTTAAAATTCCCACTGTAACCATAACATACACACAAGAAATTAGATATCAAGAATATATAGGCCTATATATATTTTGAATTTGAAGATTACAAAGTTGCATTAAATTAAGTTGAATACAATTGCATGATCAAAATCTTTTATAAGAGAGGCTGGAGGGAACGACTTGGTGCAGTAAAAAAGAAATATAATTGGGAAACCATGGTTGAATATATTTTTATGATATTGTTTTATTTAGATTAAGAGAAAAACTGGGTGATCATGGTGCGTTATGTTCATTCTTTTTTGTTTTAACCACAAAAAAACGGAAGTGAATGTAATTTTTGCAATAGAAAATTAAGTATGCATTTATCTATTACATTGTATATCTTATTGTATGAAAATTTCTGATAGACCTTTCTTATTCAGCCCAAAGTAGCTTGTCTCAATTATTGCACGGATTGTGGGGATATGTGAATCCCACAACCCTTTTTTTTCCTTTACAAAGACAATTCGGAAGGGGGTAATTAAGGACCATACTTTTGTTATGTAATTTTCTCCAAGTTTAAGACTTGCATAAAAAATAAAATAGAGAAAGGATGAAGCATGGCCAAGAGAGTTGGGCAGGAATTTCGAATCACAATCCTAGCTAAATACCTTTATATAGATGTAACTTTTTGTCTTAGTAGTGGGGCATTTGAGCAAATCAAAAGTTGTTTTGTCTGAAATTTTCTCACAATGAATGCACATGATAATATCACAAATGATATTATATAAAAGGTGAAATTATACTTTATATCCTCTTAGTTTAATTGAAATTTTGATTAGATTTAAAAATATATATATTTTAAATTAACTTTTTCAGTCTTCTTTTTATTTAATCTAACTTCTTAAGTTATTTTTTACTTTTTATCCTTTCAGTTAATATTCATTAGATTCTTTAACTTTTCTTTAATTTAATTAAAATTTTATTTCATTCCTGTAATTTTTTACTTTAACTTAATTTAATTTTTTAGTTATATTTTATGTTAAATTTTTTCTGTAACTTTATTTTGTTTCTTAACCTTTAAAAGTTGAAAATAATAGCGTTTTGGATAAAAACAGTTTATTTATTACTCTTTTATGCATTTTATTATTAAATTGTCCTTTAAAAATACTAAATTATCAATATAAACGTTTTTAGTTATCCTTAAATCATTCCTGACGAACCATTTATTTCTGCTTTATTTCCATTGTTCATGTCTACCGATTGATCCACATTAAGCTGTCATAGGTCAAATCTCATATATATCTTTTGAATCAGGGAAAATTTTTTGAAAAAATTAAAATTAAAGGATAACTTTATTTTAAGAAAGTAATTTGAAAAACTGTCTTGAATAAAAAAAAATCAAAGAACTAAAATAAAACTTACATTAAACTTTTGAGACTCAATTGAATAAGATAAATGTTATTAGCAAAGACTAAATCAAAAGTTTAATTAAATTCGAAGAACAAAATGTATAATTAAATAAACCTATATATAATTATTTATATCTCTGATTTTATATTTTTATATGAATTTAATTAAATTATATTAATAATGTAAATAATTTATACATTGTCATTCAATCATGATTAACCATATAAATATTTTTACAATAATAATAAATCAAAATTAAACTCCTTTTATATAAACATATCTAAAAAATAAATTTCATAAAATTAAATGAAACTATTTTTTTTATATTGTTTGATATTTAAAAATTATTTTCTGATTCTTAGTAAAATGTTCAAAATTTTTGGGGCTCTTTAATTGGTTGTAAGCATTGGCTGAAATTCTTTAACAAAAGTTTAAGTAATTGACTTTATATGAATTTGTTTGGTATTCGAATAGACTCGATTAATTTCAATTAATTGTGACTGCAATATTTTTTTGCTACAATTATTTGGTTTATTAAAAAGAATAAAAGTAATATTGTTTTCAACGAACTTTCTAACATTCATGATAATCTTTTGCAGTAAACTTGTTTAATATACTCTAAAATTCAATTTGTCAACTGTAAACTTATTTAATATATTGGTTAACTTTCCCTTGCTCCTAACTTGGTTAAATTTAACATTGATAGTTCTTCTTTTTTTTTCTTTTATATAGAAATGCATAGAGGGCTCAAGCCTTATTAAAAACTCGAAAGGAGAATTTATTAAAGGTTTTGTCTGCAATTTGGGTAGTTGTTCTTCTCTTAAGCTAAATTGTTGAGTCTTCTTTATGGGAATACACTGCTAATTGATTATAAAGTCGAGAAAGTTGTTATTGAAATGGATTCACAATTTGCTATTGCTGTGATTAAGTATTGTCCTCCAAATCATCATTGTTATTACTAGATCATCATCGTCATTAGAAAAGTGTTGAATCAAGAATAAAATATTAACTCATGTTTTTATATAAGCTAACAGAGTAGTCAAACTCTTCGCTAATTGGATGAATATTTTTTGTTACGAATTTTAAACTATTTAAAAATATTTTATCTAACGGGCAAGTATGGTTGTCAATTAAGAGTATTTTGACCTCTTACTATAATTTTACAAAGAGTATACACACAAGTATATCTTACTTGAATGTTAAGCAATGAAATTTATGAGAATATTTGACATGAAAGTAATAAAAATTAAAGAAAAAAATTCACTTATTCTTTTTTCATTTCAACCATATTTTTTCATAATTTGACTAATTTTAACCAATGTATTATCATCACTTTTTACAATAAAAACAAGATAAATTCAGTCAATAAAATAACAATTTTAATAAAAAATATATACTTAAATTTCCTAAATAAATTGAAAAATGATAGTTCATCACTCTTCTCCCTTTTCATCTCCATCTTAAGAGAAAATATTTATAGGTTTATTTTTCTTTTGAAATTTTTTATTTCAATCGTGAATTAAAAAAATAGAAAAAATTGAATAATGAAAAAAGTAAAACAAAAGTAAGATAATTTTCAAAAATATTAACTTGTTAATAATCTAAATGGAGTCAAAATTTATAAATATTAGAATTTTAATAATGTAAATCTCATAATATGTAGGATTAGAGATGATATATAATAACAAAAAACTTTGACAAAATATTCTTGTTACATATATTTTCTCATTATACACAATAAAAAAAAATTATCATAAAAAAATTAAATGGTTATAATAAACATTTTAAATTTGTACTAATAAATTAATATATTTAAATAATTTGATTGATGCAAAAATTTAATATTCACTATAAATACATAAATGTTACTATAATGCATTACTTTTTAGTATAGGCTTAATGCACGCAACAAAAAAATAAATTACTTTTACTTCTTAAACATGATTCAAAATTATGTCTATTTTATAAATATATTACAATAAAATCTCTTTATTACTGTAAAAATTTCAAATTATTAATTTATTAAATGAAAAAAATTTAGAATATAATATTACAATGACATTAAAATTAATTAATAATTTATTTATTATTATTATTAATTGATATGATGAAATTTTTTATAATAATTATAAATATTTCTTGTTTTTATAATTTATTAATAATATTTGTATTATTTTTTCTTTAATAAAGTTAATGTTATCTTAAAACCTTATTGTTTAAAAATTTTAAACCTTTTTGCTATTTCAGAGATATTTAGTTGTAATGTATATAATATAGATGAGAGTTTCAATATAATATTTAAAAATAAAAGGAATTTTGTATAATAAGTCAAAAATTGTAATGAGTCTCTTATTTATAAGATTTACTCTGATTTTAACCATCTCATTTCTTGTGACAGGACTTTGCATGAGGAGTCACCTTGGCTGAGGCTAGAAAGACTTATTAGATGACATCCTCTAATGAATAGGCAACTTAAACTTACTACTGATGGTGCTGTTTTCTCAAATGCTAAACAGGCTAGTTGTGGTGGCCTTATTCGAGACAGCAATGGGAAGTTTATTACAGGTTTTCATAGAACTTTAACTTTATGCTCTCCCTTGACTGCAGAGATTTGGGGGATTTACTAGGGCCTTCTTCTTGTCATTTCCAAGAAGATCTCCCTAATATGGATTGAATGTGATTCAAAGGAGGCCATATCTTTAGTTGTTAACCTCCCAAATTGTAATCATCCATTGTTTCATGTAGTTAGTGAAGTTAGGAATCTATTGACAGAGATTAGATTTATCAGAATTAATCATGTTTTGATAGAAGCTAATCAAAGTGCTGATTGATTGGCTAAATTAGGTATTGAGTGTGGGTTACCTTCCCTCTGTTATGATGAGATTCCTTCCTCTTTAGTGCCTTTCTTGAGATTGGACACTGTAGGTAGCTGGACTCCTAGATTAAGTATCTAGTTTGTTTGGTGTTTTTGGACTGTTAAGTCTCGTTTATTATTAAAAAAAATTGTAAAAAGGTATTCTTGTTAGCCTTCTATATAAAAATAAAATAAAATGTTGAGTTTAAGGGTATCATATGTAACATCTTGTACTTTGATTTAAATAAAATGAGGTTTATTAAAGTATAATTGGAATAAATTTGGATAGAATTTATATTAAAAAAAAATGTGAACAGTAAAACTGTCTATGAACAGTGAAACTACCTATGTACAGTGACCGATGACATCATCAGTGACATCAGCATGAACACATGGCTGACGTTACATCCGCGTACAGTACGTGTGTACAGTATTTCTGGCATGAACAGTAAGGCGGTAAACAGTGTTTTCGGCGGTGAACAATAAATTTTGAAAATTTTCTATAAAAATGGGGTTTCACACGAAATTTTTATTTCTTCACTCTTATCCAAGGTTCTCAAAGGTTCTAAGGCTATATCTTACCATTTTTTTCCATATTAAACCTTCTAAACTTATATTTCTCTTCAGATATGTGATTCTACGTTCGTTCTAAAGGATTTTAAGTAAGTTTCTCTAAGTTTGAAGTTAAATTTACCGTTCATTTCTCTTCTTCTTTTTCTTATAGATGTTCATGATGTTCTTAGGAAAAACTCTGTTTTAGAGTTAAAATCTTCAGTTAAATATTTGTAAAAGCTCTGTTTTGAGATAAAGGGGCTCTATTTTATCATTTTGTTATGTTTATTATTTGTATTCTCATAGATCTTGTCATGTATGTGATTATGTGTGGTATAATCCTTATTTTATGAAAAATAATCGGTGAAAAGTGAGAATAATTGGTTGTTTATGTGATTTTATAATGAATAAATGGTGAAAATGTGATATTATGTTCAAATAAGGCATGATAAGGTATATTGAGGATGGTTGATATGATTTTATGATTTTGTGATATGAAATATACAAGAGATGGATGTTTCATGTTTGAATATACTGTGTTTCATGTAAAAATGATTTGTATTGTGAATATACCATGGTTTGATGTATATGATGAAAAGTATGTGGAAATATGATGAAAAATATGTGTGAACATGAGAAATGACATATGTGAACATGTGAATATATTTGAAAGAGTATGAAATGGAAAAGGATATTATGTAAATAATTAAAGAGATACACTAGGGGAGTGGAAGATGGAGACAATGTGAGATATCTCAAAAAAATGCAGGGTGGTGAGTGACATTCGGGATTGTGCACAGAATATTGTATACGAATGCACCACATGGCCGCACACTCGTTTCCCGACTTGACTCCTGACCATTACCTTTGCTAAGAGGCTGTCTATTGCATGCGTTGTATCCGTATTCCATTGGGCCATCCGGTGACTATTTACATAGATGTGTAAGACTTCAAAATAGAGGCATTGGATAATTGTGACCACAGGGCGCGGTAAGCGCGGATAAAAGTAAAAGAAATTGTGAATTTGTGGAATATAATGTGTTGAAATGAGAACATGCTTTATATGACACTATGATATGTAATGCCATGATGTTTTCTTTAACCGTGATAAGATGTGTTTTGTGATAAATATGTGTGATGTATGAGTGGTAGGATAGAGACTCACCCTTACACAACATTTTTCAGGAAACCAGGACAAATAGTACCAGGCTCACAGTGCATGAATGGATGAGAACTGCTATAGAACTTAGTTATTTTGAGTTATGTAATAGATATTTTCAATTCTATAACATTCTTTTGAAACAGTTGTAAAACTACTATTTCTTTTTGTTGTTGATGAAAATTCTAGAATATTTGCTTTTCTAAAGTGCTTATGAATTAATGAAATTTTACTCTATGAACCTTATATCATTTCATTGTTTCTTTCTCATTAGAGAGTTTTTTGAAAGAAAATTTACTTTATCATTTAAATTTTTATGAAAATTTATCATATATTGAGGAAAGAAATATAAGGCGTTACAATTTTGGTATCAGAGCAGTTCATCCAGACCACATTGGGGTATGAGAGTAACATATCTATGTTGTGTAATAGATATACTAGAATATGAAATGATTATTTGCTAATATGACTTGTTAGATGTGAATTATGTGAACTAGATCTATCTATGTGTATGTGAATGACAAATTAATAAGTGATTTGAGTTTATTGCGAGATTAGAGCTATGACTGGTAGAGGTAGACCTGCTGGTGCTACAAATGAACTCCTGGAGCGCATGACCCAAGTCTTAGAGACTTTGGCACATAACCAGGAGGCTGAACTAACCGAGTATAGAGGACTTTCTTCTTTTACTAGGCATAACCCTCCAAAATTTGAGGAAAAGTTTGATCCTGAGGGAGCTCAGAGGTGGATAGCAGATGTGGAGAAGATTTTCCATGCCATGGGATGTAAAGAGGAGCAAAAGGTAACTTATGCTACTTATATGCTAAGTGGAGAAGCTGAGGACTGGTGGAGATTTGCTAGTCAAACTCTACTGCAATAAGATGGTTATATTCCTTGGGAGACATTTAAGGCAATCTTCCTGGGAAATTATTTCCCTAGAGATTTAAAGAAACAAAAGGCTAGGGAGTTCCTTAAGTTGAAACAAGGAAACATATCTGTAGGTGAATATGTTGCTAAATTCCATGAATTGATGAATCTCTAGGGAAATTATTTTCCTAGAGATTTAAAGAAACAAAAGGCTAGGGAGTTCCTTAAGTTGAAACAAGGAAACATGTCTGTAGGTGAATATGTTGCTAAATTCCATGAATTGATGAAATACTGGCCTCACTATCAACATGATGATGAAGAGGAAGATTTATGCGCTCAATTTAAACATGGGCTAAGGCCAGATATTCGAGATCCCGTTAGTGTATTTCAACTGATAGATTTACCCACTCTAATGAGTAAATGCAGAATATTTGAAGCCAATACTAAGGGTAAGACGATGGATACTAGAATTGGTGGTCCTGTGAGGCAAGACCGAAGGCCTCCAAGATTTTCTAGAGGACCTTAATTTAGTCCAAATCAGTTTCAAGTGAAGGGGACTGTATCTCAAGAAGATAGTAATGGTGGCTCTGGTTCTTTCAAAAGGCCACTAAAATGTTTCAGGTGTGGTGGACCACATATTAAAAAGAATTGTCCTTAACTTCCACCAACATGTAACATTTGTGAGAAAATGTGACATTCTGCAAGTGTCTGTTGGTCTGCTCCACAAAAGAGTAGAAGCATGAGTGTGATACAAAGACCTGAATCTAGAGAAAGCACTGGAACAAAGTCAAATGTAAAAGGCAAAATTTTTGCTATGAGTGCAGCTGAGGCTTCAAAATCAGAGAAGCTTATTAGAGGTAAATGTTTCATAAAAAAACTGACTTTTAGATATGTTGTTTGATTGTGGTGCTATTTATTCCTTTATTTCTGTGGATTGTATGAGATGTCTAGAATTACCTGTATCTGAATTGTCTTGTGATGTTATTGTATCTACTCTTATGGGTAAGCCCGTAGCAACTTCTTCTGTGTGTTTAGGGTGTCCTATGATGGTATATGGTAAGAGTTTTAGTATAGATTTGATTTGTTTACCTCTTTCCCAACTTGATATAATTTTGGGAATGGATTGGTTGTCATCCAACCATGTTTTATTGGACTGTAAAGAGAAAATTTTGATTTTTGGTACTAAAGTATCAAAAAGTGCTAAACTCTTAAGTCCAGATTTGTTGGGAAATGTAATGAGTGCTAAGGCTTTCATGGTTCTATTTTCAATTGAGACTAAAAAGGAAATGAAGTCTGAGTATATCCCAATGGTTAGAGATTTTTTAGAAGTTTTCCCTGATGATGTTACAGAATTGCCACCGGAAAGAGAGATTGAGTTTACTATTGATCTCATTCCGGGAGCAAATCCTATTTCTATTACACCATATAGGATGTCACCAGTGGAGTTGGCTGAGGTAAAGAAATAGGTAGAAGAATTATTGCAGAAAATGTTTATAAGGCCAAGTGTGTCACCTTAGGGAGCACCTATTCTTTTGATGAAAAAGAAAGATGGGAGCATGAGGATATGTGTCGATTATAGGCAGTTGAATAAGGTAACAATAAAGAACAAGTATCATATTCCTCGAATTAATGACTTGATGGATCAGTTACGAGGAGCTTCTGTATTTTCAAAGATTGATTTGCGATCTGGTTATTATCAGATCAGAGTCAAGAATGAGGATATCCCCAAGATAACGTTTAGAACCCGCTATGGCCACTATGAGTATCTAGTTATGCCATTTGGTGTGACTAATACTCCTGCAGTATTCATAGACTATATGAATAGTATTTTTCATGAGTTTTTGGATAAATTCGTTGTAGTATTTATAGATGATATTCTGATTTATTCCAAGACTCATGAAGAACATGCAGAACACTTGAGAATTGTTTTGCAGATATTAAGAAAAAGTCAGTTGTATGCAAAATTCTCTAAGTGTGAATTTTAGTTACCACAAATCTAATTTTTGGGGCATGTGGTATCAAAAGATGGCATTATGTTGGATCCAGTAAAGGTGGAGGCAGTGGCTCAATGGCCAAGGCCTACTAATCCAACAGAAATTCGCAGTTTTCTGGGACTAGCTGACTATTGTAGGAAATTCATTGAAGGATTTTCTAAAATAGCTTTTCATTTGACGAAGTTAACAAGAAAAGGAAAGGAGTTTGTGTGGAATGAAGAGTGTGAAGCTAGTTTCCAAAAGCTGAAAGAATAGTTAACATCTGTCTCTATCTTAGTTTTGCCTAATCTAGAAAGAAGTTTGATGTGTATTGTGATGCATCTAGGTAAGGGCTTGGTTGTGTCTTGATGTAGGATGGAAGGGTAGTTGTTTATGCTTCGAGGCAGTTGCATCCTCATGAAGTTAATTATCCTACTTATGACCTAGAATTAGCCGCGGTAGTTTTTGCCCTTAAGATATGGAGACATTATCTATTCAGAGCGAGATTTGAGGTGTTTAGTGATCATAAGAGTTTGAAGTACTTGTTTGATCAAAAAGAGTTAAATATGAGGCAGAGAAGGTGGATGAAATTTTTTAAGGATTATGATTTTACATTGTCTTACCATCTTGGGAAGGCAAATGTTGTTGCTGATGCTTTAAGTAAGAAGTCCTTACATATGGCAAGTATGATGGTGAAATAATTAGAATTGATTGAGAAGTTTTGAGATATGAATTTGGCAGTGGAGGTGCGACCTCAGAGTTTGTATCTTGGGACTTTGATAATCAACAACGATTTCTTAGTTAGGGTTCGTGATGCCCAACAAGAAGATGTGTTCTTGCAGGAAATGATGAGGCAGAGGGGTGAAGGAAAGAATTTGGAGTTCCATTGTGATGCAAATGGATTGATTAAGTTCAAGAACCGTGTCTGTGTATTCCTTCCAATGATGAGCTTAAGTAGATGATACTTGAGGAAGCTCATAAAAGCAGAATGAGTTTTCATCCTGGTGCGACAAAAATGTATCAAGACCTCTGTAAGAATTTTTGGTGGAATAGAATGAAGAAGGATGTAGCTGAGTATGTAGCAAAGTGTTTAATTTGTCAAAAGGAGAAGGTAGAATATCAACGTTCACCTGGGATGTTGCAGCCATTAGAAATTCATGAGTGAAAGTGAGATAGTATTTCTGTGGATTTTGTATTTGGTATACCAAGAATCAAGAGTAGTCATGATGCAATTTGGGTGATAGTAGATAGATTGACTAAAGTAGTCATTTTCTTTCCATTAATATGAAGTACAAGTTGGAGAAATTAGCAGATATGTATGTGAGAGAGATAGTCAGATTGCATGGAGTGTCAACTAGTGTTGTGTCAGACAGAGATCCAAGGTTTACATCGAGATTTTGAAAGAGTCTGCAGAAAGCCTTGGGTACTAAGTTAAAACTTAGTTTAGCTTATCATACACAAACTGATGGTCAAACTGAAAGAACAATACAGTCCTTGGAGAATTTGTTAAGAGCTTGTGTGATGGAACATCAAGGAACTTAGGAGGAATGTCTACCTTTGGTAGAATTCATATATAATAACAATTATCATGCAAGCATTGGAATGGCTCCATTTGAGGCTCTGTATGGAAGGAAGTGTAGAACACCTTTGTGTTGGTATGAAACTAGAGAGGCGATCCTATATGCGCCAGATATGGTTCAAAAGCAACATGAGCAAATCAAATTGATTAGAGAAAAAATGAAAATAGTACAAGATAGGCAAAGGAGTTATTATGATAAGAGGAGAAAACCTTTGGAGTTTTAGGTAAGTGATCATGTGTTTTTGAAAATTTCACCTATAACTGAAGTTAAAATAGCTATAAAATCCAAGAAGTTATCTCCTAAATTTATTGGGTCATTTTAAGTGCTAAGTAAAGTTGGTCCTGTTGCTTATGAGATTGTTTTGCCTCCAAATCTCCCTGTATTTCATGTATCTCAGCTTAGAAAGTAAATTCCTGACCCTACTCATGTGATAGAACTTGATCCTGTTCAAGTGAGAGAGAATTTGTCATATGATGTACAACCAGTGAAAATTGTTGATCACCGTGTTAAAAAATTAAGGGGTAAAGATATTTCACTAGTTAAAGTAATATAGAATACTAGTGATGAAGAAGATGTAACGTGGAAAATTGAGAATAAGATGAAAGAATTATATCATGATCTTTTTGTAACTTAGCGAATTTCGGGGACGAAATTCTTTAAAAGAAGTGAGAATTGTAACATCTTGCACTTTGATTTAAATAAAATGAGGTTTATTAAAGTATAATTGGAATAGATTTGAGTAGAATTTATATTAAAAAAAATGTGAACAGTAAAACCGCCTATGAACAGTGTCGATGAACAGTAAAACTGCCTAAGAAATTAAGGGGTAAAGATATAGATACAATTGGAGCCCTTGTATGTAGACTTTAGAAATACAAAAGGTGTGTTGTGTAAAAAATGTAAAACAGAACTCAAATTGGAATAATTTACTCCATTTTTAAATATCAACCATGTTCAAATGAATAAATTAAAATAATGATAATTAAACTTTAAGTAATCATGTTAATATTTAAAAAAACTTAAAAATATCATAATGACAGTTTTTTTCTCTGATGCCTCCACCATAAAAAAAAATATATCTCTTCCCTGCTTCTCCCCTTTTTCTATTTACCTATGCTCTTCCTTTTTCTTTGATACCCTCTCCCTTTTGTTTTTTTGTTTTTGTTTTTTTGTGTTTTTTAATTTCAGTCTTTGATTCTGTTTTGATTTTTTCTTGTTCATACATAAAGGTTTGACATTTTTTTAATTTAAAATTTTTTTTAAAATTTGATCTCATTTTGAAATTCAAATTCAATTTGTTTTATATTTTTACTTTTGAAAAAATCACAATTTTTTTTTAAAATTCAAGGTAAAAAAATAAAACTATTCTAAGACAAAAAGTTGTAATTCTCAATCAACGACAAGGCCACAAAGGAATTGTTGGTAGGAAGAATGGCTCAATCTTCCTTGTTATTTGCATCTTTCATTTGTAGAAACAATTGACAGAGGGGTGAAGGAAAGTGCATGATTACAATTGCATTATTTTTTTGAAGAGCAATGCAAGCGAGAATAAACTATGAAATTTCAAACATTGTTTTTTTAGAACGATTCAAATTATTCTAATTATGCAAAGTGAAAGAAGTTGGATAACAGTTCTAAAGTGTTATGTTTCTGCTTGGGAAACACTGATCTTCTCGTATCTCCTTGGATAAGATGACGTCTTTCTTTGTACTGCTGACACCGTCTAACGTAGAAGGGTGTACCTACAAAAGATACTTCGATGATGAAGTCAGGTGTCGGTTTAGACAATAAATGTTATTTAATATTCAGAAGTCAACCCTTTACCTGTGCTTCCTACCTTCCTTTTATAGGCAATATTATGAGCTAATGAGCTTTATGAATTAGCATTGATTTTGGCCTTTTAATTAAAGTAAATAATGTTCTGATTATTACTCTTAATTGAATTAATTACCCTTTAACCTGATCGAGAGAGTATTCAGCTATTTAGGCCGAAGGGATACTCAATTTTCTTTGTCAGTAAATAAGACCAAATAATACCTTATCCAGTACATATTACTTAAAAAGTAGTTTTTATAGTTATTTTTTTAAACTACAAATTTAAAATTTATTTATTTTTTGTAAATTTTTATTACAAACTAAAATTCATTCATTGTTAGTTTAAACTCTAGTTTATATATTTAAAATCTAAAATTTCTTCTTTTATAAATTTTTTATCATTACAAACTAAAATTAATTTTTTATTTAATTAAAACTAAAATTTGTATAACATATATTATATAAAACATATTTTCATTCAAATTTTATAATTTAGTTAAATATAATATTAAAATTGTTACATTTGTTAATAAATCAGATTAATCCATCTTATATGAATATTATCAAATATTGATGTGACTGATTTAAAATTAAAAAAAGAACTAAACCAATATTTTGAATTAAACGAAAAAGTCCAAATCCGTCTGATGTAGAACAAAGCTAATGGGAAAGCTGCTGCGCCGCCGTGTGAAATGTGTAGGGATGAATGTTAAGTGGAACCCAATAATTAACGTGTTCATGGGGCCCCTTATTTTCTATTATGAACAGTACGTAAGCAGTCATCGATTTTTGTTTTTCTTGTTAATCATGTATCACGTGCTCATCATCCTCGTCATTGCAAGCAGGGCTGGGCACTGATTTCAAACCCAAATAGTCGAAGAAAAAAACATCAATACTTTAGAGTGATGCTTCAATTTCTAGATTACTTGTTCTTCATATGGGATGTTGCTCTTGTACTTGTGTGTCTCGTGTTCATATCTGTCTTCTCTCAAATCTGATCAGAATATCATATTTTGTATATCTTTTTAATATTTATTCAAATTCCTAAGTATTTTGTGGCAACAGTCATGCAGCAGTACTGCAGCGGCGCTGGCTACGTTGAATTCAAATTAAACACTTTGGAAAATCGTACTAAAATTTCATTTTCTTTAATTGGTTACCTTTTACGTTTCTAAAGAAGTAATATTGTGTTTATTTATTTAGTGTTAGATATACTCGGTGCTTACTGAAGTCCGAATGGGTGTTTCTACGAAACATCCACTTTATCGAATAGAATACGTCTCAGATATTTTTGGTATATCCATTCTACATTATTATTATTATTATTATTTAATTTTTACATCCACACAATTACGTGATATCATATATAAATTAATGAAATAAATAATAAAATTTTATTCGTTTTAAAATAATTAAACTAGCATATAAAACTTTTCATTTTTTATTTCAAACCTTTATTTTCATGTTAATATTATATTAATTCATATAGGAAAGTAATTAATTTAATTTAGTGTAACTTTAAAAATATTTAATTGAAATGTATTGCCATTGTACAAAAATTATATCTTCATTTAATTATGAATTATAATATTAGTAAAATTTATTTTTTATAGTGTTTAATTAAAATATTACACTATGCCAAAAGAGAGATTTAACGGGAGTAATATTAAAATCTTTATACAAATGAATGCTATAAAATACTGTAATATAATGTATCAAAGTTCTTTTGAGATAAAATGTAATAAATAATAATATTTATCATGTTTAATAGTTTTAAAAGCTTAAAAATGATTTTTGAAATCTATTACAATGTTCTAACTAAGTAAACCCTATAATGAATTTTATTTATTACAATATTTTTGTGTTTATCACCATAACAAATTTTATTTATTACAATGTTTATTAAACATTTTAATAAAATTTCAAATCTTTTTACTCGAAATAAGCAGCTTGATAGCACACTATTCAACAAACTTCTATTTCATTCAAATCCTAATTCTTATAGTATTTTTTTTAACTATGTGTGAGATTGAGTAAAAAAAAGACACATATAAAAAGTGCAAAAAACTTCTCTCTCTATCTCTCTCTCTCTCTCTCTCTTCTTGTTGTGTTTGAATTTAAGTTGTGATGAGTTTTTTTTTTTTTTTATAATTTCATGACTTTTGATAAGTTCATCATATTGTTAAGGCTTTGCCGTTGGGAACATATCCACTATTGTGATGGGAAGCTTCGTGGCTGGTTGCATGGAGACTCTTAGTATTTTTGAATATATAAAGTTGTAAAATGCTATAAAAATATGTCTAAAAATGTTATAACATAATATAGTAATTTATTGTATATATGTTAGGAAGTTGGCTCATTACAATGTGTGGACTATTTAGGTGGATGATTCAATGATAAATACATTCTGATTTTATGTCCCTAGTAAAATATTTAAATGTTTTGTTTTTGTTACATGGCGAAGGAGTTTAATTTTTGAGTTTGTGTGTATTATGTTCTTTTTATTTGGGTGATGAACCGGTCTAGTTTGTATCTGATTTTTTGACAACAATGTGAAATATATACCAACTTGCTGTGTTTTACTAGTTGAGGCTGTCCATTATATCTTGCTCGAGTATTTTTATTTTTATTTTTTGTACTTATTGTATTAATGATTATTGTTCTTTTGGTTTTCAAATAAAAGTTGACACTGTAAAGTTTTCATGTAAATAGTATATTAAATCAAATCCTTACATAATTAGATAATTTTTAACAAAATAATTTTATCTTAAAAATTAATTTTAAACTAAAAGCTCTTGTTATATATACATTATATTTACAGAAATTGAAGTTAATATAAAATATTAAAAATATTTCAATTATATTTTTAATTAATGTAAAATATTTTACCCAAAGTATTTTATAGTCAAGATAAGATTTGTTTCTCTCGACTCTAATATAGTAAAATACACATGAAATAATTGAACCTTAATTAATATGTTTGTTTCTATTTAAAATTAATATTGTAGATATAATAAGAGTAAATAAAAATAAAAATTATTTCATTCAAACAAAATATCAAAATTATAAATAAACACAACTTAGTTAGATCAATAATAATCTTTTTTAAGAAAAGTTAATTTAGTCCTTAAAAAATAAAAATATTATTAAATAAGTTTTTAAAGATTTAGATTACACAGCATAGAAAGTTTAGAGTTGATTTGCCACGACTTTGTCCCCAACGGTCCACACAGACACAGTACTCTGCTATTGAAGATGTAGCAATATATTGATTATAAATAGAGCATATTTGCATGGCGTAGATCCCATTCGAGTTCACAAAGCATATTTCAAACATTTGTTTTTCACCCAAATGGAAACCCCTTTAATATCCTCCCTTCGAATTAGTGTTGAAAAGACAAAGGGGAAACTATTCGCCTCAAGTTTTGACCCCTACTCTTTTGTATGTCCTTCTGCTTATGACACTGCATGGTTAGCAATGATACCTCATACCCATAACCCTTTCCAACCCATGTTCAAAAATTGCTTAGACTGGATCCTCAACAACCAAAACCAAGAAGGGTTTTGGGGTGAGTGTGATGCCTTTGGCAAACCCACCTTGGAATCGCTTCCTGCAACTCTTGCTTCCATGATTGCACTCAAAAAGTGGAACACCGGTGCAATTGTGATAGACAGAGGTTCTATGTTACTTTAAAGTTTTTCAAATGAGCTTTGTTATATTTCTTATTTTTTTTTCTCTTAATTATAATTTTGTAAACAAAACATTAAATAAAAAAGGCCATACATTTATTATGTTAAAATTATAAAATATATTTAATAATTAAGAAGATTTAATAACTCTATTTTTGTTGGGATAAAGCTTGAATGGCCTCTTTTTCTAAAATATTTGAAGTAATTTTATATTTAAAACACTCTTATTTACATTCTATTTGCATTCTATTTGATGTGTTGCTAATATATAATACGGATGTAGTTGACTTCCATTCTTTTAAATGTTTCTGCCATTTTTTACCTCAGGTTTGGAATTCATTGAAGCAAATACTGAGAAGCTGCTAAAGGAAATGGATAATGATTTCCCACGATGGTTTACTATTGTTTTCCCTGCCATGGTTGAACTTTCAAAGAGTGTTGGTTTAGAAATTGTGTTCCCAGATACAGTGACGGAGAGAGTGTCTAACATCTTTCGCGATCAGCAAAATCTGCTTGACAAGTACTTTATTCAATCCTTCCAATTTTTTTGTTCATTTTCTCACAACAAAGAAATTATCATACACTTTGCTAAGTGCTAATAACTTTAAATTGGAATGAACAGGGAGGAACTTGTTGGGCAGCATTGCTTCCCAACATTGTTATTATATCTTGAAGCTTTGCCCCCTTCTTATGCTGTGAGTGAAGAATATATATGTAGCGCTCTGGGTGATGATGGTTCACTATTCCAATCTCCTTCAGCTACTGCAAAAGCATTCATGGCTACTGGGAAAATTGAGTGTCTGGCCTATTTACAGTCCATAATTCAGAGATGCCCCAATGGAGGTTTGGACTTTATTTTAATTTGTCTCAACCAAATTATAAACAAATTACAAACCGTTAAATTGACTCAATGGACAAGTAAAAGAATTGCATGAGGGTAGGGTATAATTGATATTGTAAATATATGCTAATAGTTCATATTATCAAATAATTTCATTATCGTAAAAAAAAAATTGATGTATGCCACACCCAAACACACGAAGAGATAAATTATTAGCGTAGATCTATATTATATAAACTAATAATTTAATTGGTATAAAATAAAATCTATATCAGTCGAAGCAAGTTAAACGTCCAACTGTTGCTAAATGAATTTGTATTTTCGTAATGATAATTAGCTTTATATATATATATGAAATTATGTTGCTGCAGTTCCACAGACATATCCATTGGATGAGGACCTCATAAGGCTCTGCATGGTAAACCAATTACGAAGGTTAGGGTTGGCTGAGCACTTTGTTGAGGAGATTGAAGAAATGTTAACAAAAGTCTACAGGTAAATGCCGCAGTGATCTAGAGACTATGAGTAGCGTACACAGATCCAGACCAGTTATGTTTGTATGAAGTGCTATTTTAGAAAACAAATAATTGAAACTGAAAAAAACAAAAAAGAAGAAAACTCTAATTAAAACAAGATCTAGAAGCTCTAAACCAGTATTTTCTCGTTTCACCAGCTGAAAGTAATTTTATTTAATCATTTTTCATCTTAATTTCTAGATTGCTTAACTTGCACCAAAAAAATTGCTTGAATACATGGTAACGCAAAATTAATTTCTATGATCATATTTTCATTAAAATTCCATTAAATAAAAAGATTTAAGTAAAAACTTATAAATGCTTTAATAAGAATTCATTAAATAATTGAGTTAGGAATTCGGTCTCAAAATTATTTCAAACTTTTCAATTAGGTCACTGATATTTAATAAAATATTAATGAAGTGATCCAATTTTTTTTTTTTAAGAATCCACTTACAAACTTTTTTAAAGTGTAAAACTTTATTTAAAACATTTTAAATAGTTTAGGGACTCATCGATTAATTTTACCAAAAATTAATAATATGTATGTACATATTTTTAAAAAGATGATAGTTGTTAACATAATTGCTATTGAACTAACATTAAATTTATGAAATATATCATTATTTTTTAAAAGGATATATTTTAGAGAGCTATATAACTTGTAAATACATATTTTACGTTAACACTTAATGGTTGATTATATTGTATTTAGTGAGTATTATATTTTAAGAAGAAAGAGTAACCATTTTTCGCTCATAGCCATAATCAACTTGTTTCATATGTTTTCATAAATTAATTGGTAACTAACTTTGTAACACAAAAAATAGAAACATATACTTTAAACAATTTTTAAAAATATATATTACATTATTCACATAATTTAATATACATTTATTCAAAGTCTCAAGTACCCGTAAATCATCAGCCCTTTAGAAGCCCATATATGAGTTGATCATTAATTGTTGTTGTATAACATTGTAGTAAGCATATAATTAACCTGCTATCTTGAGTTTCAATGGTACTTACAGGAACTATGTGGACCAACTAGCGTGGAAAAAACCTACCAACATGGTTACGGCTCAACTTCACAAAGACTCTTTGGCATTTCAGCTCCTAAGGATGCATGGGTACAGAGTATCGCCCTCATGTATGTCATCCATTGCAGTTAACTAATTAAATTAATTAGCAAGCATTTTCTCTCCCCCCCCCCCCCCCCCCTCTCTCTCTCTCTCTCTCTCTCTCTATATATATATATATATATGTTCATAGAATTACCTAGCTATTTTTTTACAAACAAAAAAGTTGTACTGAAATATGGTATTATATTATTGTAAAAGAGAAACTTCTTATTTCTTAATAGAGAAATAATATGAATATATTTTTTAATACACTCTCACTTATTAATTAAAATTTATTAAAATTTATAAAATATAAATAAATATCAATTAATTAACAGTTAATTTTATATAATTTTTAATAAACTTTAACTAATATAAAGAATATACTTTAAAAAATGTTAAAAAGTGTATTATTAATATCATATTTCTTGTTACCGATGATAGTAAATAAACCCCTTGGATATAATTTTTTTATCAATTTCATAATCGAATTCCTTATTTTAATTATTTACAGTTTGAAGTTCGCTTTATAAATTTATTATGGGTAAAATTTAATTATTAAGTTTAAAAGAAGTTTGTTTGAGATCGGTACGTGAAGTTTTGTTATATTGTTTTAAAAATGAAAAACTTCATCTTGACTGTTGTTGAGCCCTCGATGTATTTAAGGATTTCGGTGTGCGTAAATATTGATATATTTTAAATGTTTAATCAATATTCTAATATATTTTTATAGTGTCACAAAGAAGTTAATCAGCGTAATAATTAACTAGAAAGTCAAATTCTGGTTACAAAATTCGTGTGCAATAATTTTACTCAGTAAAGTTCCAACACAACATGCAGTAAGCTTTGGTTGGTTTCTTGAAAATGAAGAAATAAGAGGACAAGTTGAAAAGGAACCGGAGTTATTCTCAACGACAATGCTTAACGTGTACAGAGCCTCGTGCATCATGTTTTGTGGTGAATATGAACTTGAGGAAGCTGAATCTTTCTCGAGGAACCTGCTTCAGAAATGGTCGGTGGCTAAAACTGATGAATCGCACGTGAAACTTTCACGATTCCGAAAACTGGTACGGTACAATTGCTGCTTGGGATCCTTCCTCCTCCTCTTCAGCATCATTTATGCTTTTGTTGGCAGTTTGTGTTGCACTAGGATTTCTTCTCTTAACTCTGTCGCAATTAGAGCTGCAATTTATAATTTCTATTTTTTTAAGGAGAGATTCAGATTTTATGTTGTCCTTCTTTATTTTTAAAATAGCACACTCAATCGATCATCACTTAGAGGATGAAATGTGTTACAATTTCGTCTATTTTAATATAAAATAGAGCCAATAAAATATGCTAATTCAACTGGTTAACCTTTTAAATCAATTCTAAACCTTTTCAACTTGATCCATCCAAATTTTTTTTATTTCATTTTGACCAATACAATATATTTAAGTGTAAAATGTTATTTCAAATTAAGTTTGAATTTTTATTTTAAGTCTCCAAAAAAAATACTTTTTTTTATTTAGACTGATAAAGCCTGAAAATCAAAATGTGCTAGCCTGATGCAAGCTGAATAACCCATTTTAAACTCTAACTATAATTCAACTTGATAATTTCAGTGGGAATTACAATTAGGTTTTTCATAATTTTTATTTATTTATTTATTTATTTACAGCTTTTAATATTATTGCTAATTTTGAATACCAAATTGTTTATTAAAATTTTAAAAACAAAAGTCATTCTTACTATCTTTTTTGAAATTTTAATCAAATATTCGTTTTATCTTTCTGAAATCATTAAAGTTAATCAATACTAATGGTTCCAAATTAGCTGCCACCAAAAAAGCTATTCATAAAGGATTTTTTTATTTTTTTTGCTAAAAATTTATTTACAGTACTAATTAATTTTAGTTCAACACAAATTAATCTCTTATGAAAGAAAAATAATCATTTTAAAAATAAAAAGTATCATCTAATTTAAGCTACAACTTACGCTTTCCTGCATAGAATTTAATCATCATATTCGAGACTGATCACATGTGAAATTTCTATATTAAAAAATTTAATTAACTTTATACAAAAAATAAATCCTCTTACATTAAAGCATTTCCAACTTAAAAAATTGATGAAAAATATTATTTTCTAACCTCAATGCAGTATATACCTTCGAAAGATAAAATATATAAAAGTAAGAAATATAATGAATGATATAAAGAAAAATAGTGTAACAATATAAATATTAGGGAGTAAAAAAAAACAGTGTTGAATTAATCATGCTTCAATTGGTCATATATGTAGGTTGAGCGTGAGTTAAATATTCCATGGCTAGCTCGCCTAGATCACTTAGATCACAGGACATGGATAGAAGAAAGTGAAGCCAATTTCCTGTGGAAGGGAAAGACCTCACATGCAAGGTACAGTTTAATTTGTAACCAAATTATTTCATCTTTTCATAAGTTGCTTGCATTAGACACAGGTGATCACTGACAAATCTCTGATGTAGGATTTCATATTTTCACAACGCTGATCTGCTTGATCTTGCCATCCATAATTACGAGTTTAAGCAGTCAATTTACAAAAATGAGTTGGAGGAACTTAAGAGGTCTTGTACAATTCCACATATTTTTTCACAAATTTTATATTCACATAACATATAGTTCATATAACTCGTACTCATGCTAGATCAAATTTGAAATTATAACAGTTGGTCCCAAAACAATGGTCTAGCAAACATGGGATTTGGCAGAGAGAAGACTACCTATTGTTACTACGCTGTAGCAGCTGCCACTACCATCCCACATGACTCTTACATAAGAACTTTAGTGGCAAAAATTGCTATATTAATCACAGTTGCTGATGATTTCTTTGACATGAAAGGATCTCGTAGTGAATTGGAAGGCCTCACGGATGCAGTTAAAAGGTACATACCACCACCATTTTCCCTCATACAAAATTAATTTAATTATAACTACTACATTTTCAACCCAATTTAATTAGCGATCCCTTATATATATAACATTTTGAAAGATGGGATTCAAAGGGTTTGAGCAGCCACAGCAAAGTCATATTTGATGCTCTTGATAATCTTGTGAGCGAAGCTGGTAGAAAATATCTCGAACAAGGGGGCACTCATGACATTAAAAATACTTTACAAGATCTAGTAAGTTTACTAAATTTATGTGATTTATATAATATTAGCAAACTAATATATAACATTGGAGTGTTAATTTTGTGAAGTGGTATGAAGCTTTCGTTTCGTGGCTCATGGAGGAAAAATGGAAAGAAAATGGGCACACACCATCTACTGATGATTACCTTAACATTGGCATGATCTCTATTGCCGCACACACAATTGTTCTTCCAGCTTCATGTTTTCTTAAACCTGCCTTACCATACGAGAAACTCAAGCCAGACCAATATGAAACCATCACTAAACTGCTTATGGTTATTTGTCGTCTATTAAATGATATACAGAGCTATGAGGTAGTTAAGTTATTAATAAAGCGATCTTTTTTGTTAACTTCACCCTCTAGTAGTGATTTTAAGCATCCAAATATAATGTTTTAAAAAAGTTATATATAAAAATATAATATTAAAAACTTTCATTACTTTCACATTCTTGATGTAATAAATATATTTTTTTAATATAAAATTATCATATTTTTTTTGTCTTAGCCCTATCCTAATTATATTTCATGTGTATTACACAACAGAAGGAAATTGAAGAGGGAAAGTTGAATTTTCTTTTGCTCAAATTAAAGAGGGAGCCAAATTTTGTAATGGAAGATGCAGTTGATTTTGTGAGAGGCATCATTGACAAAAAGCAGAAAGAGTTCCTTCAACAAGTTCTAGTTGACGGCGAAAGTAATTTGCCTAAGCCTAGCAAGCTGCTTCATCTGACATGCTTGAAAGTTTTTCAGATGTTCTTCAACTCTAGTAATGCATTTGACTCCAATACACAACTACTTGAGGATATCAATAAGGCAATCTATCTTCCTCTAAGTAGAAACATTAACACCCCCAAGATTCTCTCTTTGCATAATTCAAGGCCAAAGATGAAACGTACAAGTATGCAAAAATTTCAGTTTAGTTGGTCCTTTAAACCCAAGAACAGTATTAGCTTTTTTGTGCATCAAGTTTCTCCGCCTCCCTCAAGAAATGGTTCTGGGATGATACCCGTCAACCCCAAAGCCTTATTTCCAGCCTTTACCTAAATCTGCAAGCTGAAGAAGGTTCTGTTATAATAATTAAGAATAATACTATTTTCACAATTTTAGGCTTATGATATTTGGATTTTGATTTAATAATATTTTTGGTTTTTTTTCATTTGTGGGTGTTATTCTAATGGTTGACTTGTGTTTGCATAAATATGGTGATTCTTCTCATGTTTGCTTTATTAATAAAAGTTTTGTTTTACTTTAAAAAATAAAACTAATTTTCACAGTCTGTTATAAGTAAATGGAAAAGATAAAAAGAAAAGAAAGAAAAGAATAGTAATGTAAATGAAAAAAAATTTAAAAAAATAAAGAAAATTTTTAATTATATTTTTTATTTTTCTACTTTAATGTATATGTAATTTTGATTCTCTAATTTTAACTACTCACATTTAGTTTATTAGATATTTAGAATTTGGTCTTTTTAATTTTAATTTTTCATATTTATTTTCTTTAGCTTTTTACATATGTAATTTTTATTCTCTTAATTTAATTTTTCATATTTAATCTGCCTAATTTTTTTAATATTCAAATCAAATCTTTCATTAAGACTTTTATTATATTTTATACATTGTTTATATATTTATTTAATTATTTTATATCTTTTTATTTATTTATTTGTATAAATCAATAAAATGCCATACTTTAATTTTATTTTATTAATTATCAGATAAAATTTTGAGATAGAAGATTTGATTTAAACATTTAAAAAATTAGAAAAATTAAATGTGAACAATTAAAATTAAGAAGACTAAAATTACACATATAAAAATCTAAAGTGACTGAATAATTAAAATTAAATGAACAAAATTCATATATATAGAAAGTTTTAAGAATCGTTTAATCTTTTTAAAATGAAATAAATGAACATGGTAAATATTACTTGAACTCAACAGCTTTCTCTGTCGTTCTATCTTCTAAAATTTATTTACATTGTACCGAAGAAAGAAAAAGGAAATGTAAAAATTTTTAAGACTCGAAATTTAAACTCAGATTATCTTATATATAACGTGCTAATTCTTAGCGGTTTCCTTACCAAAAAAGGAAATGTCTCATGATGTGTTGACGTGTGGGCCGAATCGTTGAGGATCAAACACTTTAATCTAATAGGCCTTAATGATGTACGCACTTCACGGGCCTGTCATGGGTTAGGGTTTATCGCCAGATATATAATAATTTTTAAATTAAGAAGATATTTTAGTCCTTAAATAATTTTTATTATTAATTTATTATTGAATACATACAACAGATAGTTAAATTAATGATTTATTTTAAAAATATAAATAATTTTTAATTTTTAAAATATTAAAAATTATAACTAATAATTTTTTAAAAATATAAAATGTCTTTCAAATTTCCGAGTATCATAACAGTTATTTTGTTATTATTATCCGTTTCCTCTGATTTGGGTTGATTAACTATATTTTACTAGCTAGCTTTCGTTGCTATACAGTGGATGCCACTGATCAACCTTAAATAGTGGATGTCCATTTATTAAACTAAGGTCTGACGAACTCATTTTAAATTAAAAACTTATAATATTATATATTATTTCTAATTTTAACTTTCAACAAATATGAGAACAAAGGATGGTAATCGTACCTAAATCTAATGAATATATATATATATATATACAAAAAAATTTCTAGATCGAAATTAAAATTCTTTAGCAAATGTGTTTGAATTCGAGTATTTACCCGCAAACATTTATACCCATATAACTTTAAGGTTACACTTTCAAATAGCATCTTAATAACTTGATTGTTGTCTCAAAATTGAAAATTTTAACTCCTTACAGGTTGAACCACATTATTACTACAAGATTGTTTTTCAAGTGTATTGGTTAAGGAGCATTGCAGATCAATTATTTAACAATTTCATTTTTATAATTAAGATATAGCATACTATTTTTGTTTAACTACATGCAGTTAATAACTCTAGAAAGAATATTTAGGCACCCATATAAATTTTGTTTAAACTACATTACCAACACAATACAACTCTCGCAATCGATATTTTTTGTATCAATAACAACTAAATTATATTATGAAATATGAGAACAAGTGATATAATACCAAATTCCAACTTGCATGTATTCGTAATTTGAATGAAATACTTATTCACAAGAAATCAAATGAGGATTTAAAAAATTGGCTTAATAACAAGGTTAGTGAAATCAAAACTTAGTTTATTCTAGGAATATGAATGGAGTAGAGCACGAATTTAATTCATGATGTTTTGACAGTAGAATCTTAACTTCTATCATCTACTACTTTTTTTTCAACTAATCAAAAAACTCTTTGATTAGAGGCTGGTCTTGTAAAGTTCAAGGCAAGACTGAAAAATTGTTCCACTAAAAAAAGAAAGGGAATTCAACCCATTAATTTTTTTGTTCTTCTTATGATATATTTCGTTTGCATACTCGAAATAATCGATAGAATGTCATTTTGGTTTATGTTCGTGAAGAAACATATGGATTATATGGAACCTGGCTAGATATGGAAGATCTAACAATTCCAATGAATTATGTGCCAATATTTCGTGTAAATAGTATCGCGCCAAAACATAAAAATAAAATAAGACATTGCTTTGGTGAATTGGGAGCAAAACTGTTTTATTCGTTATAGTTGTATTGAGTTACTTCGCATTTTGACAAGATAAGCTATTAGCTAAGAGCAAAATCTTCATATGGGGTCACTCAACAAAGAGCACCCAATATGATTATTACAGACTCTTAATTATTTTGTTGAAGGTGGTGAGTCTCCACTGAGAAAGGAAGAGAAGAACGCAAGTGAGTTGCTTGGTTTAAAACATGGAACTGCATGACCAGCTCCTCGAAATGTTGCAAATGTTAGCCCCTGATATTCTTCAACCCAACCGCTAACCTGTTCCATCGATAACATATCATTAAACTTTTAATAATAAAAGGTTTTATATGTATGTAAGGGTTAGGAAATTTAGAGGACTAAATCCCAAGAGGAAAATAAAATAAAAAAACTTATGGCAAATTTTATTCATTTTAGTAATAATTAACTACCCAAGTCATGAATTAATAAGTAATTACTCATTAACCACCCTTTAAATATGTTTAACCAAATAATTTGCATTGTTCCTACACGGAATATATATATATATCACAAAAATAATAAAATCCAGAAACTTATCGGTACTTTTGTCTTTGATCAATAAAGTCTTATTAATAGCTTTGTACACTATAGTTTATACGGAGACGAGAACCAGATTTTTCAGCAAAAGGATTCAAATTTGCCTTAAATTTTCATGACCCCTTACCTCATTTTCATGGTACCAAGGTCTCCATGGCTTTGTAACAGGCAAAGCTAGAGAACTTAAGCTGTACCTTGTGGAAAGCACTGGTACTCTACCATCTGTGTCTCCACTGAAATATTATGAAAAAAAAAAGCAATTAGAACGCAGGGCTTATCCATGAAGGTTGATAATCAATAGTGTTTTACCTGTAAACCCAAATTCTAAGTCCTGCTGAAATAAGCTTCTTGTAAATTGGGATAACAGATGGTTTTGAATCTGCCCAATTGTTGAATATCTTGTTGCTACATTAAATAATTAAAAAAAGGTTATTTAGCAAAAGATAGTAAATATAATAATACAGAAAATTAAAGCAGTAAGAAAAACAAACAATATATATAACTATCTATGATATTTATTTAATTTTTATTTGGATAACTGTGCATTGCCATGAGAAAGTGAAGCAGGGAGGGTTAATGTTACTTGCAAATACTCCAATTCTTGAGATTGTAACCATCGCTGGCATGGAGGGCCTTCTGAACATCTGGTCTATTATAAAAGGCTTTAGCATAGTCATCCAGGCATGGGTCATACCCACCCATTATCCTAGGCATCTAGTAAATAAAATTAAATAGTGAAGTGTCAGAACAGTTATATACACAATGCCTGCAGTAAATGAATTTGCCATCAAGTTTTGTTTCAATCATTTCAAAACCAATTGAATTCTATGATAGCACTTTGGAGATGTTTATAAAAGTTTCTACAGAACAATTTTGAATATACTTATCTTATCATATAAGTTCTAAGTACTTGTGAACTTCTTTTAATTTATTTTAATAATTTTTCGGAATAAATTTATATGACAAGTTCGTATTAAATTAGCATTTACTTAAGCTATTTACTTAAACACACCCTTGCTTAAGACATGTATGAGAACAAGTTTTGTTGAAACTAGTAATTTTTCCAATTTAAAAAATAGTGTTTAATAAATTTTTCTTGACGCACCATTTTAGATGAACGCTTATTCATTGAAGTTTGCATGGGTTGACCATTTGAACGTGCTGTACTGGCAAAGCAAACAGAGGTGTAGAGGCTGTAGATATCAATTTCATTGTACTGTTTAAGTACTTCATCCACAGCTTGACTACAATCTTCATTGCGCCATGGATCACTGCTGTTAAAGTCACAACTTGTTTTGATTATTTGGTGAGTCTCATCAGATATCACAGCATGGCTCCAAGCATAATCAACCAGACCAATCCAATCTTCAGCATCAGATGTTTCAGGGTTACCAAGCTGCAGAAGAATTTTTAAAAAATTGGATAATATTTTGTCTTTCAATTTATGTCATTTGCAATCTCCTAACTTTATAGTGTGCCAAATGAGGAGTGTTCAATCTATAAACTACACCCAAATGAAACTTTAAACAAAAGTGTGTGACAAGTAAAGAATTTGCTTTATAAATATCTCACACATTGATAGTGGAACATGATGTGGGCAAGTGATTATTTTCAAATCCTATTGTGGAGCTAAAATATAGAAATGCTAGACTACATAAGATATATTCTTAGTAAAGAAAGATTCTTTGTGCCGTGATTTGTATTTAGCCCTTGATTGTGATTTTAAATTATGTAGGACCATACCAAAATACCCTTGAGATCAATATAAAGGGAGGGGTCATTGTTCCTATCATGAATGAGTTCAGCCAGCTCTGGCACATACTTTCCTGAAAATAAATAGTTGCATTAATGATTAATTTCGAGGAATTGACTAAAGATGACTTGTGCAAAAGGCATTTTCAATTTCAATACCTGCATAGCTCTCCCCTGCTATGTAAAATGTCCTTGTTCTATATGATGGAAACTTGAGGAGCCAATTTTGTAGAAAAGTGTAAGCATCATTAGCTGTCACAGATAATAGAAAGAGAACATAGAATTTGTCAGAGGTCTACTTTCCATAAGCTTCTAACAACTGAAAATGCAACCCACGTTAGAGAAAAAGGCATAGTTGTGGCTACTCATTATGCAGCGGCAACATATAGATTAAGTAATGACCTGTGAAGTCATCTCCTAATTGTTCATAATCACTGGTTACATTTGAATAGGAAAAGCCAACTCCAACAGGAGATTCCAGGAATAACATGTTGGCTTCTGAAACATCACAGACACCAAGATTTTTAATTACCACCAATTAATATTTTTTTGTGGGGACAAATAATGGAGCACTAGTTGTGGTTCACCATTAGAATTTTATATATTATGGCATAAAAAGAAGTGATCTTGTGCCAGAAAGTATGTGTATAAATAGTTGTGGTCACTGTACCTCTGTTCCATGAGAAGTTATTAAATTTGAGGCCTTGGCCATCAGTGTCCACTAAAAAAGGACCAATCTCCTGTGTTGCTCCATATCCCACAGAAGAGCACCCAGGACCTATAACATAAAATCATGTTGTCACCTTAGCAGAGAACATATATCATATGCAACAAACAACAAATGAAATGAACAGAAATACTAAAAGCAAATGAAATCCTAGAGGTTATTAAAATTGTTGATAAGTACATGGCTTTCTCTTTAAGCATAGGAATGACTCAAGTGAAACGTCAACAGCCACCCTAATAAAAGATATGACATATAGTTTATAGTATGATCCTATGACATTTTATCATAAACCTATTACCATGCACACTAGTCACTAAAATTTTGTTTCGTCAATTATCTCCCAAGTCCAAATATGTTTATTACATATGTTGTTTGACAGAAAAATAGACATTAATTAGCATCTGCTTTTACCTCCATTAAGCCAAAGCACCAATGGTTTCTCTTCTGGCTTGGTGATAGCCTCATAGAACCAGTAAAAGAGTGCTCTTCCATTGGTTTCATTGACTGTGACATAGCCAGCATAGTGCTGGAAATCTACATGAGGTTGGCCAGGCAAATTAGTCACAAGATCAACATTATGACCAGTGCTCAGTTTCCTCTCACCCCTCCTATGTTGCCTATGTCTAGAAGAAACAACAGGGTTATAATATAGAAAAAGTAAAAGAACCAAGGTGTATAAACTAGTTAGCTTTAATACAATGTTATCCATATTATGGAAGCTCACAATCACAACAAGAGAATGGGAGATTTTCCACTTTTGATTGAGATATGGTCTGAAAGACAGAGAGTTACATGGCTATTTATATTGACTGATGAGGGAGGGATACTTGGTTCCACTATGCCCCATGATGGGTAGAAATTTGGAAAAGTTGATAGGATGAGAGCTTCCTACCTGGCAACATCTTTATCTCTCTTCTCCTTTTTGCCTCTTGTTGGCTTAAGAAGATGCCATATGACGTCTGTCATGGATTTTAGGCAGCTTCTAGATCATATTCATGCATGGAACAAGAGTGAGTGGAACAACCAATTCTGATAATATGGGTGGTTGAACATGAATGTCTTGTATTCACATGAATAAATGTATAGGATGATTTAAGAAACACTATACTTCCTTGAGTTTCATTGATATTATAATGAATTTTTTTTTGTTAGTCAGTGTCTTATGCGTATTAGTTATGATTCAGGTTAAAAAATTATTCAATAATAATTTTTTTATTGAAAATTATATTAAAATAAGTTAAAAATTATAAAAATGAGTCTTTTTGTATTTTTTTAATAGAATAGTTTTAATTTTGATTCTTTAATCTTTAAATATGCTTCAGATATTAATTAATATTCTTTGTTATAATTTATACCTTAGATTGTTTTCCGGTTAAAATAAAATTAAGAGAAAAGTCAAATTTATAAATGGATGCGTGTTAGTCTTTAAAGTTTAGAAACGTATAACAGAACATTTTTGAATTTTTAAAATGTATATTGTAGTCTTTCCATCAAATTTTCAATCGAGTATTAATATAAAATGTCACTTTTTCTAGGTATAAAGCATAGAAGGAAAACAATATTGTACGTATATTAAATGATATGATTGATTGTAGAAAATATGATATGATTGTTTATTCTTCTCTATCCAAATGGATTCGATACGTATGTTATATATTGGAAAATTAATAGGGTTCACTTTTTTATTTAGTATAAAAATAGTACAAGCAACAAGAGTATAATACCTGTAGTTTGAGCAAAAGAAAATTAATGACGAATGGATGCTTTTATTATAACATATGTCGAGCTTTTCATTTTAATGGAAACATATCAAAAGATTTGAAGAAAAAAGTGGCAACAAGGCTTATAAGAGAATAAAGTGCAAAAAGGATCTAAGAGAAAATTTGAAACTCATACCTCATTAATTAGATTATAGTTTTAGTATATGATAACATAATCCATCTTTCTTTGTTAGTGCAATCAATTCCATCAAATGGTTTCCAAAATTCATTTGCTTTTTTTAATTGGAAAATGATTCCATGATGTAAGAATAGCATATGTATTTTAGAATAGACAAACCAGGTCGACACGACCGAAGGAGAATCTATTGCTTATTGGTTGGAATTTTGACCTTAACTTGTGCTGGTCATTGTACAACAATTGTAAATAGAAACTTTAAAAAATTCTACAACAATTACAATTACAATAACAATAATAATAAAACTTAATTTTTATAGAAAATTTATATATATATATATATATATATATATATATATATATATAAATACTAATAACACACTTTATTTTAACACATTTTGTCAAGATATGAAATTGTACCGTGATTCAGCATACATATTCAATCATCTAAAAATATTATTTAACTTGACAAGTTTATTAAGAAACTAACTCATAAGATAGTAAAATTTTTAAATAATTAATATGATAAATTTATCTAAAATTTTGGTAAATTTTTTTTATATTTTTTTTATCTTAAAATATAACATATTATAATCAATTTATTACTCAGTCTAAATTAATTGAATTCTAAAATATAATAATATCAAAACTAAAATATCTATTACATGGCTAAACTGAAAAGCTAACTTCTTAATAACAATAAAAAATTTAAAACATAATTAAAGAAAAAGAAATAAAATCACTAAAATATAAATTAATGAAGGTCTAACAATAAAGGTCTTATTTAGATAGACCGGTGTTTCTAATAATCACATGCGATTTGGCTATTTTAAAATCTATAAATAATAAATAAATAAAGAGTAAATCACATAGACTCAATTATGATTTAATAATTACAATGAACAAAAAAGAGAAATAAATACTCAAAACATATCATTTTAAAAAAAATAATTTTAATTATTAATTCAAAAGTTTAATCATAATCAAAAATTTATAAATTTACATCGTTAAATAAAATAGTTATTTCAATCACCAATATTATGATAAATTATACATATAAAAAAATTTAAAAAAAAATTCTTAAAATATTGTTGAAACAAATGTCAATATAATGTTATCACGAGTAGCTTACAAGATACTAAAGTCTAAAATAATTCTACTTTGTTGATAACTTTCTTTTTTCAATGCATACATCTTATAATTAAATGTCATTAAATAAAATTAAAATAATAACTTCTTTCATACCTTTTTAAATAAATTTATCATGTAACTACACAAAATATATATTGCAATAAACTTTCGTAGGATCAAAAAGTAAATTTAAATTTGTTTTTCCTAGTAAATAAAATTCTAGTCAATAACACATGATAAATAATTATAATAATTATTATAAAATATGTTACTATGATAATTATCTATTCACAAATAATGAAAAACTAAATAACTCACTTCTCAAAACTATACTAGAACACTTCTCAAAACTACACTAGAACTATGAGAAAAATATAAGTCTACAAATTTAAATATTAATAATATTTTAACAAGTATTCTAAATTATTTTTAATAATGAAATCTTTATATTTATATTTAGAGCCCTAAAATATACATTATAAGAACTTGTTCAGAATTAACATAATTGAGTTGTGACTTGTGAGCATATTATAAGAACTTAAATAAAAAAAAATTATGCAATAAATGGCATCCTTTCCTTCATAGAGCAGTACCTCTCACTCTAAAATTTTATCCAAAATTTTTTATATAAAAAAAATGAGTCACAAATATTTTTTTTTAAATCTCAAAAGAATAAATAAAAATACAAAAGTATATTACCATAATAAAAAAGGGAGAACAATGCTTAAGTCAAACAAAATATATATGAGGTGTTGTGAAAAAGGAAGAGTGGGTGGGGTGGGAAATACTCTCTTTTTTTTTATTATTTCTACAAGGGTAGTTCACAATTTTAATTATTGACTAAAATAATTGGTTTAAATAAATTTTTGTCTTTAACTCAAATTTATAAATTAGTTTATACATGTAAAAAAAAGTATAAACAAGTCTCTATATGTATATTTATTATAAATTTAATCTTTGTTATTATTTTAAGAGTTTTTATTTTCATAATTAAATGAAAATTTTAAAACTTAGATGTTTAGTATTATTTGTCATTTTATACTAATTTTTTACAAGTGTTAAATTTAATTTTTATACTTGATAATTATTTTTATTTTAGTCTAACATTTTTTTGTTTAATCTCTTTTAAAAAAACACTTTACATTTTTTGTAATATAAACAAACAACGAGGACTAATTTAATAAAAGAAAATAATGTAAGAAAAAAAAGATATATAATAATAATTAAACTGAAAATTTGTATTAAATATAAAGATTATTTTTTTTCTGTAAAAAACGTGTAATTGTTAGTTTCACCCTTTTTTTTGGTACATAGATTTTGATTCTTTTGATAAATTCTCAGTGGTAAGGTTGTTGCTTGAATATGTACCAAAAAGCTTTTTTATTCATTCATTTACACAGCAGAAGTCAATGAGGAAATTGCTCACATGAGAGCACTCGCAATATTTAATATCAAAGTGTAGTTAAAGCGGCAATATGGCTTAGAATTAACCTTTCATCCTTTCCATATCCCTAATACAACTCACACGTTTCTTGAAAAAACAATTAGAAGAAAACAACAACCACAGGGTCGCAGAGAGAGTGGGAATAAGTTTTTTCCTTGTTCATAAATCATGATAAATTCAAATATAATAATTTTATTAACTCTAATTTTCAGAAGTAGATTAAATTAAATTTCTCAATTTAACGTTAGAACCTATTTAATTTGAATATTGAATCACTCGTAAGTGTTCAATCCTACTAATTTTATGCAAAAGTCAAATTTTAAACATAAAGAAAGTGTGTGAAAGATATGTATGTTAAGATACTTTATATCAGCTAACAATAAAATCAAAATATTCTTTATAAAATTTGAATAAATGTATTTCTTTAAATTTACTTTTGAAAGTGAATTTGACTTAATTTTTTAATATCAATTTTTAAAGCCATTATAAGTTTAAATATCTAAAAGCAAAATATCTTTTTAGAAAAAATATTTATTATTTTTTATATAATAAATATTTTTCAACAAAAAATTATAGTTTTAATTACTTAAAATTAAATTTAAATGCTGACATTAATATTAAAAACAATCTTAAAATATTTAGAAAATAAATGACTTTCTCAATTTGAAAATTTATCATAGCTTATATAAATCTTAAATTCTAAGATCTAATTGAAAAATATAAACTATTTGTGTTTCGTACCTCGATCATGGTTGGTACTTTGTAGTTCTAGTTATTCCACATGAAGAAATATAAATTAAGCGTGAGTTGAATTTCCACCTTCAAAATCCATTTCCTCTATTTGGTTCATGATACTATATATCTATCCTAGGAAAGTGAAGAACATCAACTCTATCCATTACAGCCAAAAAGATCCCTGTTCATTTTAATGAAAAAGTAATGTTGCGAAGTTTTTATTCTATGTCAATCTGTGAAGAGTCTTATTGAAAAGACTAAACAAGGTCACAGTGCATGCAATATATATTATATATATCTTTCTATATATTGACCAATGACCATATTCTTGCTGATTTATGATCATATCACGGAGGGAAAATGTATTACGGTATATATATTCCAAAATAGTCGTTTCCTTCTAATATATATATAACAAAAAGCTAACAGTCGCGCTTTCAAGAATCTCATCATCACAAAGTAGAAAGGTAGGGTTTTTGTGGCGAACCTTGTGCGTTATGACT